TCTCTACTGGTCACCTTATATTTTCCATACACACGTTTAAACTTGAATTAACTCCTGGAGTTAATCAATGTCTACAGCTTCCTCCTTAGCCGGACGAGAACCTTCCTTCATTTTCAACCCCCAGACTCCTCTTCTTGTTGAAAACATCTGGGAGTTCACCTTACTGAACTCTTATATTACATCTGAGAGTTTTTGTCTGACTCACTTGGGCTTTCCAGGCCTATACTCATAGAGCTGCAATTAGTAATGATTTTGCCACTTTTATTTCCATGATTTTTACTTTTTTCATTATTTTGGCTACCTCTTCCCAGAACAACCTGGAATTGTAGCTCTGCTTTTTCTTGTTGCTGACCTTCCTGGAAATGCTTCTCACACTTCCTCATGAAGCATGGTGCTAATTTGGCATCTCATCTGTCAGGGGAGAGTCATTCCTTTCTGTTTTACTATGGCGTTTTATTTCAGGAATGAATGCCCTACTTCATAAAATGTGTTTTCTGCAGCTACCAACATGAGTCTATGCTCTAACTCAATGTGCCGAGTCAGTTCCCTGAACAGATTCCTCATGTCTGTCTATTCTGTGTGCCAGGATGGTCCCTCCCTGGTTGTGGTGTACTTTTGTTTCATTAATCTGTTGAATTCAGATTTACAAAATCTTTTTTTAGAATATGTTTAATATATTTATTCATCCAACAGACACTCCTGTGCTAGGCCCTGGGCAGGCCCCGGAAAGGTACTGGCCTAGGAATGGGCAGTCCTGTGTGGCACAACCGATACAGCACAATCCAACAGCCTTTGTGTTGTGTTTTGTTTTTTGACTCCAACGAGACTGGGCTCCATTGGAGGAATGCACCCCTTTGGTCAACTTATAGAATCAGGCCTATGCTTCACTTGAAAAATATTAGTCCATATTCTGGAACATTTGAATAACAGAAATTATCTGCTCCTTGAGTGCTGGATAGAAGTTGCCTATGACACCACATAGGCCTGTTTTCCTTTGAGAGGTGGTTTTTGGGCAATATTTTAATTTGTTTTGCCCATGGTTATTGGACTTATATGATTTTCATTTTCTTAGGAATTATTCATTTCATCCAGAATTTAAATTCATAAAGAGGAAGTTATAAACATTCTTCAGATTCTGAAAAAGTGTATGTTCCCTGCATGTGGTTCTAGTCTCTTTTATACTCACACCATGAAGTATTTGCATTTTCTTTTTCTTTCTGTTTTTCTTAGTAAGACTTATAAGGTGCTTATCTATTTTGTTTTTGTTTTTTTAAGAACAAGCTGTTGATTTCATTTCTCACCTATGATTTTTCTGCTTTCTAATGCATGAATTATCCCTGTTTTGTCTTTATTAATTCCTTTTCAAGTGTCTTGAGCTGAATGTGCAGTGATAAACAATTGATGATAGAAACAAAAAATTTGTTTTCCTTCTCTCTTGTTTGATATTGAAAGTATTTAGACCAGGACTCTTCTGTGTGCAGTTCAGGCCCACATCCCATGGGCTTTGCCATATGTGGTGTTCTTATCTCTCTGCACTCTAATTGTAGGTTTTAATTCTGTTTTTACTTTAACATTTTTGAAAGTTAATTTTTTTTTTTTTCCTTGATAGAGTAGTTCACATTTTGTTATTGGGTTTTGGTTTTATGGCACTGTGGTAAGAGAATGCCCACATACAAATCTCTTTCCTATCCTCTCTCTGAGCTCTCTTTTTCCCTGGGCTCCCAGAGTCCAGTTAATCATCTCTCAGATAAGGGCCCTCACACCATCATCACTAGCTTGATTATCACTGTCTTGATTTTCCCCCTCATCTTTCATTTTCTCTCCCCACAAGAGGCACCTACTCAGATCTGTTTCACATATGTCTTTAAAGATATCTGTATCTTTGAAAAATACATAGTGTTGCTATATGTGTATTTTAATTTGCATAAATAATATTGCGCTGCATATCCCCTCCTGTATTTGTTTGTTGAGGAATCTCAATTTGTTAGAGAATCCACATTAAACGGTTTTATTCTTTCAAGTCATTGCCCCCACAAGCCCTATGTCAAATCTTCCCCAAACATCATTTTGGGCAGAGTCCATAATTTTCAGTCACTTTCAGTTATTAAACCCCTTGTCCTATTACAAGTCTCAATTTAAAAATCGATATGATTTAAACCTCACCAAGCCCTCCTGCATCTCCCTCCTCCGGTGCTCCTGGGGGATGGGGGTCCCTGCCTTGCCAAACTGTCAGGGAGCTGGCAACTGAGCAATCTCCTAGACGTAGAAACCCTCGAATCTCCCTCACCTCTCTTTCTCTGCTTGACAATTCTCAGAGTTTCCTTAGATATGCTAAATATTGACCTCAAGTTGGTTTTAGACAAAGCAAATGCCCTCTCTTAATTCATCGCCTATCTTCAATGAGATTTGGTATCCTTCACTGAACGGATAGTCTTCATTTTGATGTAATTATGCCTAACACATTTCCCCTCTTCAGGTTTGTGGGTTTTGAGTCTTATTTTAAAACATATACTTCATCCCAAGTCATCGAGTCATGGCCTTACGTGTTTTTATTGTTTTAACTTTTCACATTTACAGTTTTAATTCCTCTGGAGTTCTGTTATGGTAGGATCCAACTTCATTTTTCCCCATCAGTTTCCCCACCCTTTACAACAGAGACCTCCTTTCCCACAGATGTGATGCTTTCTGGAGCATGTGCCAAGTCTCCTCACATGCAGCCATCGGGGTGGCTCTCCATTGCCCCCTTGGTCTATTTTTCTGTTTCTATGCTAGAACCACAGTTTCTATAATTATAGCTTTGAAATATATTTAACACTCTGGCAGGTCAAATCTGCCCCAGCCTGACTCTCCTGTTTGCTCTTCTTTCTCAAACCTGTTGTAGAATTCATGGACTATTATCCTCAAGATCAATTTTAGAATCAGATTGTCATGGTCTTGAAAAAACCCTGTTGGCATATTATATGGAATTGCTTGAACTTTAGAGATCAATGTAAGGAGAAGTGACATTGTTATAATTTGTAATTGTTTTTACTCTCTATTGAATAGAGACAAAAGAATATTTATAAAATATGCATTGAGAATAAAGAATAACGCAACCAACACTGGTACCCTTACCACGAAGCCCATGAAATAGTGCCTTACTAGGAACTTTGAAGCTTCTGTGTGATAATTCCCGAATCTCAGGCCATGAAGTCTCTGATTTTGCTCTTGATTTTTCTGCGGCCTGGCATTTGCTTGTGGTGCCTCAACTTCCCTGTGTGCACAGTGATTTTTGTTTGTTTGTTTGAGGAAGATTCGCCCTGAGCTAACATCTGTTACCAATCTTCCTCTATTTTTTGTATGTAGGTCACAACCACAGCATGGCCATTGACTAGTGGTGTATGTCTGCACGTGGGAACCTAACCCAGGTTGCTGAAGCAGAGCACACCAAACTCAACCACTAGGCCATGGGGCCAGACCCATGCGCAGTGATGTTTTTAATAGGGAGGACATGTTCTTTTTTTTTTTTTTTTTTTTTTTTTTTTCCCTAAAGCCCCAGGCGATAGTTGTATGTCATAGTTGCACATTCTTCTAGTTGCTGTATGTGGGACCTGGCCTCAGCATGGCTGGAGAAGCAGTGCGTCTGTGCGCGCCCGGGATCCGAACCCGGGCTGCCTGCATCGGAGCGCACGCATTTAACCGCTAAGCCACGGGGCCGGCCCCAGGACATGTTCTTTAGAGTGTTCTCTGTGGGAATTCTCTGAAGCAAGGCTTGAAACGTGGATTCCTTTGACACAATCTATATTTGCTTCTGCCAGATACCTGGGTATGTGACCAACCCAGGACCACTTTAAATGACACCCTTGGCTTGGGTTTTTGAACCACCCAGACAGTGTGAATTCAAATTGCAAGTTCACAGGAAGGTGGGTTTTCCCAGGTTATCCTCACTTGAAGGCATGGTCCTTTTTTGGAGGTGTTAACTTTTTGTAGGAGCTCTCCTCTTAGACAACCCTCCTTGGCTAGGCCCTGGGTTTTGCCTTTTGTCTCCTGCACCCGTGAACAAGACTGTGAAAACTAAAGATCATTTGGCAAATGGCCTTTGGGCAAAAGCCATCTTCTGGGCTTTGCTGACTTCTTTGGATTTCAGCCCTCCCTTGGGTTTTAGACTCTGAGGAGCCTTCATTTTCTTGCCAGCTCGCCCATGCATTTAAAATGATAATTTTTAAAAATCTCACATATTTAGTTATCTTCAGCAAGGTTGGGTAGCATATCTAGTCTTCCATACTGCAGGAAGCCAAATGCTGAGAATTGACATTTTTACATTGTTTTAAGTTGCCTCATCTAAGAACAACAGTCTGTCTGTATATTAACGTAGGTCTTCTTTTATGTTCTTAGGTATAGTTTTATTATTTTTTTCCTTAAGTGTCTTATGCATTCTTCATTAGATTATGTCCTGTAAATCTTGGTTTGCATTACATTAAAAAATATATATGGAGAGAAAGAGAGCTGTTTTTCTGATTTATAAAACTTTTCAACAATACAGAAGAATGTAAAGAAAGTTTAAAAAAAAATCATAAACCCACCATCAGCAGAAATAACAGTGATTACCTTTTGATGTATGCTGTTGTAAACATTATTCTTATACATGCACCTTTGCACAAAAAGAGAGGGGCTGGTTTGCATTTCAAATAGCTCACTCTACAAGCAGGACTGTAGAAAAGAAGGTCAAGGGCAACACCTTGGAGGCTCACCACAATTTAAGGGGAGGGCAGAGGAGGGGACTAGGGCATTAGGGTCAGACAGTTATCAGGAGAATGAAGAGAGAGGCCAGTGTGATCCGAGCTTGCGCCCCAGGGCAGAGCTTCCATGTCACAGAACAGGTTCATAGCCATGCTTCAGTATTGGGGAAGCCTAATACAGCTCATGCTAAAGATATGGCCCAGGAAGGTGTGAGTTTATCCAGGGCCTGCAGTGAGGCCCTCCTGCTGCCTCCCTTATGCCTCCTTTCCTCCTCTCCACAGGGTAACTCTGGTGGCTCCCTCGTCTGCCAAGTGAACAAGACCTGGATTCAGATGGGGGTGGTGAGCTGGAGTTATAGCTGTGGCCGGCGCCACTACCCAGGCCTCTACACCAGCACCTCCCACTTCACCCAGTGGATCAAGAGGCAGATCTCTGACGTGAGGTTCGTCAGTAGGGCTGGCCCTGCCTTCCTGAGCCCAGTCTTCCTCACTGGCTACGTTCTGCTGGTCTCCTTGGGCTCCCTGTGGCTCCTGTGAATGATGTGTCCAGGGTGCTCACTGCTGGAGGCTGCTTCTTTCTCACTCTGTCTGCCTTGGGAGAAGTGGAGACCAGAGGACACAGGCCATCAGGGCAGAGCACCCTTGGGGGCGGGTCCCAGAGCCACTGTTTTTTCAGTTGTTCAATGAAGATGCTCTTGAACATTGCACCACTGAAATCATCGTCTTTCTTCTTGACTTTGGCTGGAACCCTTCGAGCCTCCCCACCCCCAAGAGGCCTTGCTGTCCTCTCAAGGGGAGCCTGCCCTGAAAGTCTTACTCCTGCCCGTTGTGTTCCCCACTCTGGGCTGCAGTTTCCTCTTCTGCCAAATACTGAGATGGACACTGTGACCCCAGTCCCTGCTTAGTCATCCCAGCACTCCAGCAATCTCAGATCCCCATGGCACCCTCCTGGGTGTCTAACCAACAGTTTCCCTCAGGCCTCCTGCGAGGGTTGGCCTCTTCCCAAGAAACTCAAAATGACCAGATCTGCACTTGTGGGCCTTGTTCCAGAACTTGTGGGCCTCTCCCAACCTCTCATATCCCCCTAAAGGTCTACAGACGCTGACCAGTTCCTCCTCTCTCCCTGGCAGAAATAGGTGATGATGGGGGAGAAAGGCAGAGTGCCTGCTCAGGTGACTTGTGTGAGGTGACCGCACCCTGAGTTCCTGAGCTGCCTCTGTGACCTCCATCAGACTCTGGATAGCAAGACTCTAGCCAGACTGAGAGGGCACAGCCCTGCCTCTGTGTGGAGGTAGCATGGGGGGCCCCTCAGACCTGTGGGCTTCGGGTTCAGAGTGGCCAGCTACCCCTGCCCTTTCAGTGCCAGAAGGGTAGTGGGTGTGATTTGCTGTTTTCTCAGAGATTGAAGCACTGACTGGCCAGCCCAAATGTCTCTCCCAAGACAACAGGCCCTAGCAAGTTAGAATGTCTGGCTTGATTTAACTTTCACTTTATCTTTTATTAGGCTAGAATTTTCCAACAGCTTTGAACCAAAGCTTCTCATAGAATTTCCCCACACTACTTTTTAAATATATCATCATCTATGTCATTGAACCATCAAAATGTTTCCCAAATTCCAACATACAAAGTGGCCTTCTGTTCCCAGAAGCACCTGATGGTTACCATCACTCTTTCTCTGTGAATGGATACTTCACCTGTGCCATTGTTCCTAAGCACATGGATCTGTCAGTGAAGGGCGTTTGCTGAATGGAGTTTGTTGGGGAGAGGCTGCTTAAAATGATACAATCTTCAAAAATCATTATTGAAAACATTTCAGTCTGCTTAATTTCAGTGCCTTGAGGCAAAGCCCTACTGCAGTTACCAGGCTGGAGGGAAAATGGGGCCGCTTGGAAATCCCAGATGCCAGCCCCAGGGGTTGGGCCTCCATCTCACCAGGGGAGGGATGAAAGCATGAACCAGCCCAGGGCAGTGGGCTGCAGGAGTGAGGAGGTACAGGAGGGCCGAGGTTAGGTTGAGGGACTCCAGGAAACTGGCCAAAAAGAGTGAGAGAGACGGAAGGGTCAAGGAGGGCAGAGGTGAGGCCAGAAAAAGGGCAGTCAGGGGGCGCCATCAGGCATAAGGGAGGACAGTCACTAGGGGAGCCCCTGCAGGCCGGACACCAGGAGCACCTTCGCGGGTGACCACTGGGGGGCGCCGCGCAAGCTGGGACCAGGAGCGCCACACGGACCACACACCTGAGGCCGTCGCGGGCGGCCAATGGGGGGCGCCGCCGTGGGGCGTGCACCAGGAGCGCCGCCGCGAGAGGAGCACGGCAGTGCAGTCACTGCTACCTCAAGATGGAGCCCTGGTGCAGGGCACGGGCCTGCAGGCAGGGTCCCCGGGGCCCCGGGACGTCTGCCCCCTACTACGCCCCCGCCGTTCTCCTGCTGCTGCTGCTGCTGAGGCCCATGGGTGAGACCCGACCCTCCCTGCCATCCCCGTCCCCATCCCACTTAGCTCCGCGGGCAGCCTCTGATCCTCTGCATCCTTCCGCAGGTTGCTTGGGCGCAGGCGAAGCACCAGAGGCGCTATCCATGCCTGCTCCCACTGACGCTGGCACCCCCTGTGCCCCCAGTGCCACCTGTTCTTCAGGTGGGCCTCGCTTTCCCCGGCAGGCCCCCACCATGCAGCCGCAGGCCTCGACCCTCCAGTTGCAGTACTCTGTTTCTAAAGCCAACATCGACTTTCT